GAGAGCAGGTTGCCAACTACAGACATTGTCAAATTTCGAGCTCGAAGGTCGATATGATATATTTTTAGGGCGTTGGATAAGGGTAAAAGGATGAATGGGTTATTTATATTGGAGTATCGGAATCATAATTTTGCCACCGTTGCAGCGGCAGAGTTCACCTATTAGACGCGCGCGCTGTGCCCGCAACCGATGTTGGCCGGAGGTTGGATAATGAGGAAGATCAAGGGCTAGTAATGGTAACTCAAAATGTTGGAAAACATTTGACCAATATTGGTTTCCGTAGTCATTGCAGCAGTCAATCCGAGTTGGAAGCGGTCGGGGCTGAGTCGAATTTATACACTAAACTAGGAACTTGCAAATCTCTTGTTCCAAGATGAGGATTTGCTTCAAAATTGAGGACTAATGGCAACGAAACCAAGTTGTCTAAAAGACATATTTATACCCAGATTTGTATTGACTCGATTATATCTAGTTTCTTAGCTCGACATGCATGAGTTGTACCCATAGGATTAGATTATCTTGATTCCAATATCTCCCGGAGAATCAGTTCTCCAGATGACGCTTTGCAACAACGCAGTACCCAAAAAGGGACTATGTAAAGAACCAATTGACCAAACAATTTGATTCACCTGCAAGAGAAATGAATGGAGGGATAAATATCCAATAAATGAGTATACCATAAGAACCCAAGAATGAGAGACTCCTGTTCGTCAGAATCATAGTGTTCGCAGATGGCCCAGTGCTTTTCCATGCATGACGGGAGAGCCGAACGACTGGTGTACCAGATGAGACGGACTTCTCCGACAATTCATGAACGTTGAGAATGAGATTGTGGTCGAACTATGATTCGTCGGTACCAGAAATCAAGTCAGCATACATTTCGGTTCAAGAGGTCAATAGGTCTCTTACCGCGTCGATAACGAGTCTTCGTCCATCAAAGACTGTTCCATTACAAAGTCTGCCGATGTCTATGAGCCAGCACCCACGTCTATCGTTAATATCCCATTCTTTGCTTATGAGTTTACGATAATCTGGAAACCCTACTATCCAACCAGAGTGGAGAGCGATGATCACCAAACCGTCATCTACATGCATACCAATGGCATCCCATCTCCAGGGTGCATCTTTTCTGGTCACCGCTGTCCCTTCAACGAGCTTGATGACTTCGTTGACCACTCTGAGCTGGTGGATAGGAGGAGTTCTTGGATTATATGATACAGATGTGGCAGCCGGAGGCAGAATAGCGTAGGCATTTGAAGTGATACATTTTGCCCAACGAACAGGCGATTGAAGCGTCTTTTGCCAGGGTGCTTCGTGTACTGTGTAAAGAACCTTGAAGGTGGAACGACAGACGATGCGGAACCCAACATCTGTACAATGGAATATGTATTGATCGTCAAAATCGATACATTTGGTGGCGACAAAGTGGTGTATCGACGTGTGTTCCACTGTGAACAGGAAATCACGTTTAGCACTGGGCTTGAGTGTAGGCGATTCCATAGAGGGCTCTCCCGAATTATCTTCCTCTGCGGACGTGCTTCCTTCCTTTACCGCTTCCTCGTCCGAGTTAGCAGCGGCAAGGGCCGTGTTCAGGTCGAAAATGTAGAGTGTCGGATGGGAAGTCACCATCATCAAATATCCATCTTTCATTTTCAGTGCTTCGCAGTTAGTATTAATACATAATTCGGCCAAGTGCTTCGCAAACTTGTGGGGAACGTCCACCGGTTGGTTAGGTTCATCGGCTCCCTCACCGCCTTCCGGTTCAACTTCTGAAGCGACCCCCTTGTTTCTTTTCCAGGACGCATAATCTTTGCTTTGCCAATAGATCGTGTATATTCTCGCACTCTTCTTGAAGAGCATAAATTGCCCGTCCGAAGCTACCATGAACGGTCGTGTCTCGATGTTGTCTATGGTTGCCCATGAACCGAGGGAATCATAACGCTCGAGATCCTTGGAGCTTATAACGAAGATATTTCCTGTGTCGGCGTCAGTACAACTAATGGTAAACTAAGAGAGCTCTCAACATACGTAAATCTTGGTTTTGTATCAGGACAAGACCTTGCTGCATGGAAACTCGACTAAAGGAATGACCAAGTTCCCAAATCACGGTCTCTTTAGCGATAGCAGATCTCGTCCATCCGCTGTCCATAGTCCAACAGGATCGGCCTGTCAAATATATTCGACATGAGACACAAAACGAGAATTTGGATTATCAACGCACACAAATCTTTCCAAGTCTGAGCCTGCTCGTCGACCCACCACCCTTTGCATCGTTGCAACTCGAGCGCTTCTTCGACCGTGGCGGGAGGATCGGATTTGGACACATAGCCATGAAATATAGCAGCGGACCGATATACGGATGCCTCATTTTGCTTTATGACGAGATGAAAATGAGAGCAGATGCGCTGGAAAGTGTACAAGTCTGGCATTCGCAAGTGAGCCAACACTTGAAGAGTTCCTTCCGCCGGCAGATTGTAGAATGCAGTCATATCCTACAGTTGATTGGATAGAAAGAGGTTTAACAATGACGATGCTCCACTCGACGCGGGAGTGGCGAATAGGAAGTGAGGAAAAAAATTGGCAACCGCAGACCTGCTGCAACTTGAGCCTTTTTGAAGGCGAGAGCATTGGATTGCGCATAGACGCCGACTTGTCTCAACTGTCGTTGAATGTGCTTAGCCCGTAGTGACCTTTCATATTCATCGCTTGTTCTGCGGATGTCGGGTGGCAAGTCGAGGAGCGGACAAAGTCAGGTCAATTCGCCCACTCGACGCAGGCCACAGCGCCAATTTCGAGGGACCACAAATACAATCACTGTACCCAGAACGCGGTTCTTTTGGTTATGATGGCTTTAATGTGCGATATATTCTAATTGGAGTGGATACATGATATCGAGGAAAGACTATACAAGGTGTGCTCAGCGTATCGATATAAAATTGGTTTGTCATAGGATTCTGCGATGATAGGCATAATAGAAACCGAAGGTCGTTAAGCGTAGACGTGAAGGGACGTGAAGACAATGGAATGAACCAGACAGAGAGTGGGATTTTATACCCAGTACTGACGTTCTCTTGAAAGGGTCTCTGGTGTGTAAGCTGGAGGAGGAACCGGTAAGGCAAGAGACTGCGGGTGACTCTGCTCTCCATTGCCAATGGAATTTGCATGATGGCTTGGAGGAGGAAGTGGTGGCTTGCGTTGTGGACGCAATAGAGAACGTAATCCAGTTGGCACAACACCATCGGTTACGGTGGAGGAAAGTGGAAGGAAAGGGGGTGGTTCGTCCTGCACGGGAGTGACTGCACTATATCTTTGGGCTTTCCCGCCTTCAATCGGTGTACTAGGTGATGGGAGGGAAGGAGGAAGTGGTGACTTGTGCATCGAGCGCCTCGGTGGGGGATCCGCAAGGACTTGATCTGTTCTTCCGACTTTGCCCGCTGTATTAGGACCGACATCGAGGACTCCCTTCTCTAAACATTGTGACGAGGTATTGCTTGGAAGTTCGAAGGGATCCACAGGCACCCTTCTATTACGATTTGACGGAAGCACCCGCTTGAAGATGCTTAAAAATATCTTCTTTTGAAGGAAGCCGTGGGACTGTTTTGGGGCGGGACACTCTTCTTCCTCTTTGCCCTCTTGTCTCCAGCCCAACAAGTGTGCAACCCATTTGACATTCTCTCGATGCATCTTCCTTGCCTCCGCCCCAAGTCCAAAAAAGGCAAAGAAATACATCCCAACGATTGGAATAGTTACGAAAAAGCCACCGTTGATTATCACTCCATCCGGATTTACATCCATCATGAATCTCGTAAGAAAAAATTTCTTATGAATCGTCTCCATGACCTCGCTGATGGGCACAAAGAGGTCAGGATAAAGTTCGTGGTCATTTATTTGTAGGAGGTAGTACTTGGTATAGGAATAGAGGGCCCATCCGTTTCCAAAGATCATCAATACTGAGCTGGAATTTGTGAGGAGTAGGTATTTGAGGATGGGTGGGTTGGATCTTTCTGTCGCATCTCCATCTTGCCGTTTTCTTCGATGTATGAGAACATTACGCAGTGTCAAAGCTATCAGAGGGTTATAAAAGAAAAGAAACGGCAAAGTGTAGGGAGCTGCACACACCATTAAACACAATGGAGACGATAACTGCAAGGATCATTGGCAGAAAGTTGACAAAGATCATTTTCAGATCATAGTATGTTATGCTTTGGGGACCAAAATCCTCAAGGATACCATAACGAAAGGCGAAGGTAGACATTACTGACGGATCAAATGTTCAGGAAAGCTCCATGCCTCGACAAGAGTACATACCCGACGGTACTAGTATTACGAATGCACCACCAAGTATCATCGCATCCAATATGTTGATTTTACGGAGCTATAAATCCAGGATTAAGTGATGGTTAATGCACAACGCTAGACAAGGACTGACATTGTCGTATAGGTAGACCGCCGATCCTGGTCTCGACATGTACCATACAAACTTTGAGAAGCACATAAGGCTGATGTAGAGTAGCTGGGGGTAGATCGACCAGAAGTAGGCCACTGCGGCGAAAGTAGTGAGCAATAGGTCTTTCAATAGCCATGATTCGATTCTCACTGATATCGCAGTAGATAGGAATGTCACGGATACTGTTCCTCCAGATTATCATATTGACAAAAACGAAAAAGTTGCCGAGGATAATGATGGCCGTTGCCGCCATGAGGGTGAAAACCTTGGTCTTGAGAAATGCAGGAATGATAGAAACCAGTAGGATGATTGAGATGACATTGAGGATCGGAACTGCTGGGAAGAAACGGGATCCTCCAACTGGTTCTTTCATCTTGTGCTACTGCCGCCAGCGGTCACTGAGGAGTTGGGGTGGAAGGCGATGTTGACCGTAGAGAGCATTCTTCCACTTTTTATAGCGTGGTTTCAAGAGAGGATCGTCAAGCTCACTACCC